TTTTGTCAATATCAGTTTGAAAAAGCTGAATGAATAATTTATACCACAGTGATATTTTTCTGAATTGGTGGAACAAATGAAATTAAAACTTTTGGTATAGATTTTTTTTTTTTTTTGTGATGAAAGAGATTATTTTGATTTTAGGAATTTGGATTAAATCATTTTTTTTTTATATGTGCAATCAAAAGATTTCATTTTATAAAAACGACAAGCTCACAGACTGTATATAATAATTCATGTAAAATTTTTTCATTTTCTTTTTAGCAATATATGACTTCATAAATGTATTATTACTATATTATATAAATGTACTCTTAGCAATTTTGTAAGTTCTACAATCTGATTTACCTTGTAATTTTTTTTGCATTCTCTACTTACAAATGTTTGTTACTTTTCAAACACCAGTTTTCTTACTTCTTATTTATCTATTTTACAAACTATTACATTATGAGTTCTTAAAAGGCAAACAAATTTTTCTTTCCATAAGAATGTGGATGTTACCAACCCTGTGTATAACTGGAAAGTTGGGAAAAAGTTATTCCTGTGATAAACTCTACCATTTGTTTTATTGAAATAATCCCTCAAGCACCAATCTTACTGTCGCCAGTAACCACAGTGAGACAATTAGTTATGAACATGCAATTTAAAATAAAAAACAAAGGTCTCATCTAAAAGTCTTTACATTCCTTAAAATATTTGTTCTCAAAATAAAATGTTCCAAAAGGAAAATTATAATAGACAGACCACTTATGAAAACATAAGGGATGTATTTTGTGTTGTTTTTTACATTGTAGATAAAAATAATTATAATGTATGATAAAAAAAATATACACATGCACAATTATTTTTCAAGTAACAGTAAATAATGCATCAATATCCCTTAACAAGACTACCCTGTCCTTTACTGTCAGATGGGATGATTCAGATCAGGGGGAGGATATCTTGAATTCTCTTTTACTGACATATTGATATGTTAGTGGACTTATTTTTCACATGGTATTGACAGATAAAGCAAGCAGTTATTTTTTAATATCAGCAACCAGAATAGTTTAAAGCTGCCTATATATTTTGCACAGATTAAAATTATTGTCAATGAAAAACATTTTTAATATTCGCAAAAAATCTGTTTTGCCCTAAATTATCCATGAGAAAATTTTTTTACTTTATTTCTTTTCTGTTAAGGGAAAATTATGTTCATTTGTAATATAATTTGAATTATATTTTTACAAGGAAATAAAACTCCTCTCATAGCAATTATGATTTGAATTCAAGATCCAGTCATATTTTTTTTTATATACTGATGCTTTGACTTGTTAAAATTATGGGGCAAAAAAATGTACCCCAAAGCTGATCCAATTTATCCCACCTGATAGTTTGTTTGATGCCCTTACCCGTCGGTACTGCCTCCTGTCACTTTTCAAACAGAGTTGTCTGCCCTTTTTAATTGAGAACCGCGGTTCAGAATCCTTGTTTTCTTTATTCTTTTTTTGTTTTGTTTTTACTCTCCCATTTCATGAACAACCATTATTTATTTGAGTCAGTATCAACTCAGAGCTGACATATATTGTTATTAATTTCATCAGAACAAAGTTTATATTTGGACAGTAGATTCAGCATTAAAGGAGAAAAAAACTACTTTCAAAATTAGTTTGGTAAGTCAATGCCCAAAGATAAACTTTTCACAATTTGTAATTTCAGTTATAAAAATTAGTGAATTTGATTTTTTTCTTTTCTTACAGCATGCCCAGTTGAATCCAAATCACTTTAGATGATAACTGTTTTAAGCTAGGAAGCTCCTAACTCAATTTAAAATAATGTAAAAACTAATATTTCAAAGTAAAACTGAACATTTTATAGGACAGTTTAAATCAGCAGTGCACATTAGATATCACACTTTAAGATCTGCCAAGGTTTGCATTACTGGTCATTTTTTGGTTTATCTCAAAAATGTTTTAAAGATTTTTAACAGCATTAATAACTTTTTCAAGGATAAAAAGAACAATACAAATGAAATCTTTTAGGGTTATTTACAACTGTCATTTCCAAAGCAGCTTTGATAAGATGTCAATAATGACAAAGAAAGTGGAGTTCAGCCATGCAAGTTTGTTTTTTTTTTTGCCATAATTAGATTTGTTTAAAAGATAGCCTTCTTTTTAGTCTCTTCCAAGAGGTTCTAAAAGTTTCTTTTGAAATAATTAATTTTTTTGCCCCATAAGAAATTTTTTAAATATTTCTTTGTTATGAACTTGAAAAGATAATTAATGCTTTGACATTTCAGAGAAGCCTTTTCAAGATATGATATCAAACCAAAAAAAGACCATTACATTCAATCACTTGATTTGATTAATCCAGATCAGTTTATCACATGTTTGTTGATGTGCCTTAATGTTTACATGAAAAAAATTATAAGTTAAACATCAAAAAAAAAAAAAAAAAAAAAAAAAAAATATTGAGAGAGAGCCACTGATAATAATGTTATAGCAATAAAATTCTTTCCAAATTTCTTTTCCAGCACACAGATTGCAAATTCCATGTCAATGTTTTTGGTTAGGTGACAGTAAGGGAAGACATACAATTTGGAATGAAAAGAGAAAAAAAATTAGAAAGATGAACTCAAGAATTTCATTCCAACAAGTTACTGCTTAAAATGCATACAGGTCACACAAAAAGAGACCTTTAAATAGGATACAAATTGCAGAATTTCGCCAAAAGTGACTACCATAAATTAATAGAATTATGACAAGACACTGCTTGTCTTTACATACATTTACATATTTATATATATGCATATAAACACACACATATATACATATGTATACATAAACATGCAATCTACAATCTTCACAACCTGTCCCACTATATATATATATATATATATATATATATATATATATATATATACACTGATATTTTCATACATATATTAACTGCCTTATAGATTATATGCACAAACAAGACATGTTTTCTTTAAAATAATAATAAAAGGAATTTATGATTTCAAAGTTTAAAAAAAAGATGCTATAAAATAGGTGAGTATATTTCTTGTCATATACTTGTAAATTATTCTGGATTCTTCTGTGTTAAAAACAAAAGGCATATGTTAACTTCCCTTTTAATGTAGTAAAGCCTGCTTATTCAAACTGTTGTACTCAACATCTGTGTCTTGGATCTGTGATATTTCAGTCAACACATTTGCAATCCTCTTCAAGAGACGTGGCACAGATCTACATTTTTTTTTCTATTTTCAGAGCCCAGTTGGGATTTTGCGTGTCGGCCTTAAATGTTTAATATGGATTTTAGATAAAGGAAAGAAAGCACCATTCTCATTGGATGCCCAGTAACTGTTTGTTCCTTGTTAAGGACAAGTTTGTTTTTGTTTTTTTTTTTGTTTTGTTTTGGTATATAGACATCAGAGAAGTTATGTTATTTATGCAAGACTGGTGTGTATTTGACTGAATCAGTCAAAATGGTGGGTTTTGTTCAGATGTGAGAAAAGTTACTTTGACACAGTCTGAGTAGATGCAATTTTATATACACATTATCAGCTTCATTCTCAATCATACACAGAAACTAAACAAGACAATTCTCAAATAATACACAGAACTAATGATAAAAAAATTATTTAAGTCAAAAAAGACATGCTAAGTAGTTCAAACCACTTGGATATGGCAGATTTTACAAATAGAAAATGACTGCAAAGTTTTTTTTTCTTCTTTAAACTTTAGTTAGCAGTCAGATTTTCTTTTCTTAGGTGAATGTTTGGTAATAAACCTGAACTGCTCAGCACCACAGTTTGAATATTGTGGCCTTAAATTCACTGTTCTACCACTGAGATATTAACCTGAAATTCAGGCAAATTGGTAGTACATAATTGTCACTCATAAACAGTGGATTTTATAAGTACAAGACAGATGTAGAAGTAAGAAGATTTTATAACTTGAATTATGAATTTGCATAAATTTTCATCACTATCTCCCAAAATTGTGATGGACTCTCTGACCCCTTAGCTACAGTTGAAAAATACCAAGAACTGTTTACAGCTAAGGTGGACAGAAGTTTCAGCAAGACTGACCATGGGGGTGATTATTTTGTCATTGATTTCAATAAAAATTTGCTCCCATAACAATTAAATCAGTACCAAGAGCAGATGACTACTCTATCAAAAAGCAATAAGTAATAGTAATAAATATACTATTTGAATAGTAGTAGTAGTACATATAATTCTGTTGTTAGTTCAAAATTAATAACAGAATGAATGGAATATAAAATGCTCTTTTCTTCAGGTGAACCACATTTACTCTGAATGGTAGCAATCAGTACTGATACAATATGGATGAAATAAATTTGATAAGAATTTGATAGGAAAAGTATTTCAAAATTTTACTTCTCCTAGGACTAGTGTTTTGTAATGTCCCTCACCAATCTCATGACTGCAAAATTATATCCACAATTACAAGCAGATATTTATACATGGATATCACAGATTTTATAAGTACTTGAATGTCCAATAGGGCAAAGTGCTGAGTAGTATTCCTGATTGTTTGAGACTATTTTTAGCTTTTATAACTGCAAGACTGAATGCCAAGGAAAAAGAGTGTTTGTCCTGGTTTGAAATCATTATTTTCCTTTGGTTAAATGAATTTATAGTAATAAACTTAAACTAACTCAGCATTTAGGATTGAAATAAAAACTTTTTGACATTCGTTTCCATGTTTTATTAATGGAGTATTATTGTTAACAGTAGTGAACATATTAAGAGTAATGTGCCTATGGTGTGAGCAGTAAACATTTTTCTTGGTTTATATTTCATGAAAAGAACCATTTGTTTCCATGATTCAGTGCCACATCACCCAGAGACGATCGCAGTATATACCAACCAAAACATCATGAATTCAAAACACAAAAATTCAATTAAACAGATATTTGAACAGTGACATAAAATTCTTTTCATTCCAATACCCAATTTTTCCTTTGTTTCTTTGCACAACTTGTTAAATTATTTACAAAAGTAAGCTGTACATAGGTTTTGCCTCTGCAGCAACATCCCGAACATTTACTACTGCAGCTCCTTCCTGTTCTGCCCCTGCAGGAGCATCACCGATTCCATTATTGCCATTGGCAACAACAGAAGCTGAAGCAGCATCAGCAGTTCCAGAACTGTCTGACTGCTGACTTGTATTATTGTCCGACACAGATGTTGACACTGTTGGTTCTGTTTCTTCAGTGCCATCTTGTCTTGGTTGTGTAGCAGCTTTTGCTTCAGCACCTGAAATCTCAACACTAGACTCAACTGGTTTACAGGCCACCTGTTCCTGAGAGTCTGGCAGCTGATGAACTGTATTTACAATTTGTTCAGAATGCCGCCATACTGAAAGTAAGGGAGGTGAGGAAAGTGCAGTGGCATTGGATGACAATGATGGTGTTGACCGTGAGCCTTTGACTTTGGCTAAATCAATGTCTGATGATGGATAACACTTCAACAATTTGGTAGTACAGACGTTGTCAGACCGCCTCTTATGAACAGTAGCCGCTGTTGTCAGTTTCTTGGTTCTGAGAAGAAGGCTATCGTCCAGTGAAATTCTGCAGTTTGTTGCAAGAGGAGAAGAGGGAAGATTAGCCATGGCTGTTTGGATTTCATCAGTGGATTTATTTACAGTCAACGGAGAGATACGTGCCATTGGAACAATCACAGTGTGAGCTTCAGAAATGTTCATGTATGCCTGTTCGGCTGGAAGAATCTTTCTCGAAGTAGCTGTAGCATAATCATCTTCCATTTTCAGAGGGAGAGTAGTTTCCTCAGATGGTTCTTTCAGATCAGAAGAGTCTGAACTTGAAGCAGTCATCTGGGGTGGGGCTGAAGGAGTTTCACGATGTGGTGGGTCATTACTATAAAGAGGTTCGCTATCATCATGATCATCTTCCTCACTGTCTGCAGAATTTAAGCTGCTGGTGATGGTGGAGGTGCTTGTTGAAGAGAAGTTAGCCAATGTGGTTGGCACTGTTGTTACCACAGTGGCTAAGCGTGGAGGTTCTTGTGAGCTACTGCAGCTCTTCTGCGGAGACTTGTGGAATAACCTTGGAACGTAGCGGACTTCTGGGGAGACATTACCAGGAACAACAAATGCTGATCCATCACGATCTGGCTTACTTCGGATGTTGAGGATATCTTCCGGTGCCACATGAATTTCATCTCTTGGATTCATGCTCTTACTGGAAGGGAGATGATTAGAACTTATCCCTTTGCGTCCCAGTGAGGGTGATACCTTTTTGATATCATGGCTGCGCAACAGATTTGTTGACTGTGAATTTGGAGGACACTGGAAAATAGATGCAGGGGAAAACTCGGCAACAATTTTCTGTTGTTGTTGTTGCTGCTGCTGCTGCTGCTGAGAATGGTCACTGGCATCCCAGTCACGAACGGTGGAGGGCAACTTTTGAGGAAGAGGGATGCGTTTTTTGCTATCCGACCAACGAAACTGATGCATTCTCTCAGCTTGAGATGTGCTGAATTTTCGTTGTGATCGGTCAGAGCTGTATCTTACCATTCCACTTTTGGTACTATCAATCCTTGCTTTTGGCCGACACACCAACAGTGCATCTTTATTTTTGTCTTCTTTCGACTTTTGATGCTTGCTGTCAGATTTGTGTTGGGAACAATCAAGTTGTTTACTGCGTGAGTGGACAAGCTCACTGTTAGTTCGGTGTTTTTCTGGGCTTCCCATCAGAGATAATTTTTCTGCAACCTTCATGCTTGCAGGTAGGGGATCAAACTCCTTAGCAGGGAGGATAAGTTCCCTCTTGTTTCGATTGTAATATGATGTTGGCTTTGATCGACCCCCTGATGAGAGAACATCTTTTGGTAGTGGCACCAGTTTGACACCACTGCGTTCTGAATGTGAACTTGATCGGCCACGTGGATTATCCGTGCTCTCAGTGGCTGTACTGTTACTTGAGACTTTTGCAGGCTCACACTTAGCCAACAGTGATGCTGGATGACTTCTTTTATTTTGTGAACGACTGTGTTGGTCTCCGTGATGTGGAGATGGAGGGAGCAATGAACCTTTGGTGGGAGACGACATCTTGGAAGAATGTACCGAGAAATGAGAACCAATTGGGGGAAGGTCTGCATTAGAGGAATCCTTGCCCGCTCCTTGGGAACAGTTTTCATACGAATCCTGAAGAATGATATACTCCCGATCACTTTTGATCCCCTCACAATTTGTAGATTTGTGTTGATTTTTAGACTTTTGAGCCCCTGTCACTGTATTTTCTTCTGATGCATGGGAGGAACAGTGATTACAACATTTAAGGTTTGTTCCAGAAAAGTCATGGTAAGTTACACCCTGCGGATTATGACCAACAGATAATTCAGCAACTGTTTTTGGTAACTTATTACTACCACTTGTTGTAGCTTCTGCTACAGCAGCATATGTTAGAAGATTTCCTGCATGGCTCTCAGATGTCTTCAGGCCATTTGCTGCTGTTGTTTTATCTGTAGGTGAGGGTTTGCAGACATTTTTGGACATTTGAGGTTCGCTTTTACGCTTATCTATGATGGAAGTTGGAAATGGGGGAGCTGAACTGCTCTGCACAAAAGACATGGGTCTGTGAGACTGGGTGTCATCTTTGCACAAAGCAGCCGCGGCAACGACAGCCAATTTTGGTGGTACATCGGCAGATGCTTGGGGTGGATCAGAAGCTACAGGGCAATTAACATAGCGCTCCTGATGCAGATCAACATCGCTGGCTGTCTCACCATCACTGCTGTCGGTGAGCTCCCGAATCACTTCCTCATAAGGTGGGAGCTCGTCTTCTCCAAATATATTGGGAGTCAGATCATCATACTGTGGAGGAAAATCTGATGAAGCAGCTGGCATCATTTCTACAGCTGCTACATATGATCCTTGGGAGTAATCACTCCGAACAGAAGAAGGTGTTCCCATGTCACGATCTGCCATACGCCGTGCAAGGTCGACATGCTCACGTCGGGAATCCTGACAATGCTGATCACGTCTTGAGCCAGATTGCTCCAAAGGTAAGAACCGAGATGTCTCTGAGGAGGATGTATTGGTAGACTGGTTGCCATGACTACTAGACGGACCATGGCGAGGAGAGTGAAAACGGGTTGTGTGTGAAGTTGATGCTGCAACAGTCTCACTCTCCCGCAATGGAATACGGCTAGACGTGGATTCTCGGGGAGATGTTGACCTTGTAAAGCTACGCTCTCGAAGAGGAGTACGCAATCCTGGAAGATCTCGAAGACGTCCTCCATTGCTGGTGCACATCAAGTTGTGGATTTCTCGGGAGTTCTGGTGTGAAGAATTACTGTTGGCTTTTTCAAAGAAAAGATATTTGATGCAGACACCAACAGATGCCAAAGATACGCCAAAACCAAAAATGGCTAAACAGAGGGAAAAAACATGGATGATAGTTGTTGACTCTTTAGGGTACTTCTTATATGAGAAGCTGTGCTTGTAGAAATTACTGTCATAATCCAAGCCACCAGCTGATAAAACCAACATTACTGCTGACAAACAGGCTGAGATGACGGACATAATCAAATAGGTTTTGATAATATAGGGCCTTCGCAACTGCCCAGCAACCACGCCGCTAAGGCCCGTCAAAAACATTGATATACCGCACCATAATCCTGTGCCCAGATAATGTCCCCATATTTTCTCACTGAAGGCTACGACAGCAACAATGATGCTTGCAATGCCAAATATTGAAAGAACAATTCCAAGCACAAATACAGTTTTCTGTGGGAAGTCAATCCGTACCCTTAACGACATTTTGGTCGAAATGGGTGCACCTGTACAGAGGTGTAAGTAGGTGGTTTTCCAAGTTCTTATGAGTGAAGGACGTTCAACAGTTATAGTGTCCATAGGATTTGTATTTTTGGCAAACAATAAATCTCTTTTTTTTTCTTTTTTTAAAGGGTAATTTTTTTTATCTCTTTGTTAGGGATATTTTAGAAAACATCTAAAAATCCTGAAAACCATTTTATTTATAATTGAAAATGGATATTCCATAAGTGTTAAATTCAAAGAAAAAATATAAATATGTGCAATAAAAATATTAAAAAATCTCTTTTTTCATAATTATTTCCTTGATATAAACAATAAATCCTTCCACAATTCCATTTTTTCAACTCTTAAAGGGTAGCTTACTCTCTATTCAGATATTAAGTATTTTTAATTAATACAAAATAATTATATACTTTTAATTATTATATGTCAAAGTTTGTAACAATTATACTAGAATTAAGAAAGCAACACATCTATATCCAATTGCTATTAATTTCCCCATATCTTTTTCGAAACAATTTACTACGAAAAAAGCGTAAAAATTATTAAATTTCGAAACAAGTGTGTGTAGCTGTAGTGTAGATTGTCAATGTCAACTCTCCAAAGACCGGCCTATATTTTCAATTTGCCAGACATATAATTACGGTAGATTAAAAATACAGGTTTTCTGTTTAAGACAAATCTTGAGGTAATATTTACTTTTTTTTTATATTAAAAAATAAGTAATTTCTGTAATTAAAGTGTGACACAACTGTTGCATTAATTTTCCCTGCGATATAAAATGAACATCAGGTAACACACGTCACAAAACGAGTAAAGAAAGCTTAATAATTCCAGATAATGAAGTCGGGTGCTTTTTAATATCTTTTTATATAATATATACACAATCATTTCAAGTTGCCCTATTCAGTGTAAGTCGACAATTGTAGTTTGAATTTTGGTTCAAAATTTTAAAATACAGATTTCAAAAATCAAAATCTCTACGTGAATCTAAAAATAGTGCCCACAACACAAACATTACATCAAAATCTAAAAACGGTCGTAGTCTAAAGGTTTTATATCTCAAACGTTGTTGTTAGAAATATAATGTTGTTAATAACAAAAATGTTGTACATTTTTTCTCTTTTACTATTAATTAAAAAAAAAAAAAAGGTATTTTAAAAGACTTGTATTATAAAATTAAAGTATGTTTTGTGACAATGTTTGGGGAGAGAGAGAGAGATGATGATGAGTTAGCCTTATGAAAACAAACCAAGCAACGAAAAGAAGACTACAGCAGTTGTGAAGCTTTCTTCTTCTTTCATCACAATATTCTTCTTCTTATTATTATTATTGTAATTTTGTCTTGATATCTAAGCTGGTTTACTAGTCATAAACATCGCCAGCTTTTAATTTAATACCTTAATTGTGTGACAAGTACTAAAAACATTTAAACAACATTTAGAGCTTTGTAAACTGCATCATAGTGATGTGAATTAAGAGAAAAATATAATTTTTAAATTGAATTCAATTCAATGTCAATCTGTTTTTTAAATTCAGTGTATTTATTTTCTTCGTGGTGTGTCACAGCCGCAGTTTGTTTTTTTTTTTATCTTCTACATGTTTATCTTTGAGATTATTGTTTGCATACAAAACAGTAAAATTGAAGACATTTCAAAATTAAGATCAAATAACGGCTTGACTTATTTTACCTTCTTTTTGGAAAAAACAAATTCGAAAAAATAATAATATCCACTACCAGGAAAGTGAAAGTGAAAAAAAAAAAAATTTAACGTGAAATAAATTTCCTATTATTAAATAAATAACCACTGACCAGCTTGCACGTTCATTTTAAACTTTAAAAATTACACATTATAATTTATATAAAAATAAAGACAACGAATGTAAATTGCAGAGTGGGCTAAGGTGATAATAATTTAAAAAAAAAATTAAATCTAATCTTGATTCTTTAAAAAATACATTAAAATCAGGAAAACGTAAATTAAAAAAAAAACAGCCTATAAAATAAGTAATATTATAGACTAGGTTACAATATGAAACAACAGAATCAGCTCCTAAAATATACCCAAAAATACTACTACTTATTACGAATAACACTTGATGATATTATTATAAAAACAAGACATCATCATCATTATAATTCCATGATGGTAATGTTTTGTCCTGTGAAAAATTATCATCTTCATTCTTTACTTGAAATAGAAATATTTTTTTTAAATGGATCTATATCTCGGACATTTTCCTTGTGTTGTTTATTATTATTATTATTATTAATAATAATAATATAGAAAGGGGCTTTTTCTCCCCAAATTATACTTAAAATTCCTGGGGTGTAAAATCCTGTTCAAGTGTTACATCCCTTCCAGCACATTAACCGAGACCGATCAAAGTAGCTTTGCGTAGGTTATCCTTCCTCTTTCTGTCATGAAATTTGGGTACTACCTTCCTGCTAGAAGGAGAAGTTCCATCATCATCTCGGTTGTAAAGGAAAGGAAGAACACCAGCTCATCATACACTAAGTGTGTTGTGTTAAATAGGGATCCTGAAATATAGTGATATTCAGTTCTTTTAAGGGGTTCCGTGGAAGTCCAGTGTTATATGCCATGGATACGCAGCCTCAGGTAGTGTCCGATTGTCCCTGGGCACTGTTGTTACGTGTCTACTTCTTCAGGATGGGCGGTAGACGAGCCAAAAGATAGCCAGTCGGTGACAACGACGGGCCGTAGCACACAAAACCGCCATGTTGGTTGTCTTCAGCAGTACCGTCTGACCTGACCTCCTAATAGAGGGAGGAGGAGGAAGGGGAGACGATAAACGAGAAAGAAGGGGGGACGATTGAGTAGTGGTGGGAGACAAAACTCCAGACGGAGGAAGAAGCAGAGTGTGGAGCTCTTAATCTTTTGAGCAAGGGAAGAGACTAAAGAAAAAGAGGAATGAGGAAAAAAAAAAAAAAAAAAAAAAAGGGAGTAAATAACCGACAGCGTGAAAAGAAAGCAGAACTGTTTTAAAAACCAGAGAGAGAAATAGAGGGAGGGGAATAGAAAACGCTACAGGTAACTGAGAAAACAAAAAAATAGAAATGGTAATAAGGAATCGGCAAATCTAAAGCCGAAACGAAATAAAGTATTCATCTTTTAAATAAAATATTCAGCTGAGAAAATAACTTTGAAAACAATTTTAATTATTCGCTGTATAATTCCAGCATAAATATGATAGTATGTTATTGGGAAAAGTATATTTAATAATACTGGGTTTTGCCGAAAAACTCCTTTTTAAATGAGATCATTGCGTACAGATAGACTTCTTCAATCCATGGGTCCTCTAACCTATGAATTTAAACATATGTTTGCTTTTTATTTATTTAATAAAATTTAGTTATTTTGAAAGCCTTATTACATAGACACACACGCACGATATCAATAATTAAAAATAATATGCTACTTAAATGGATAATTGCTAGATTACTTAAAAACTTTTCAAAGGTCTAAAAATTCTATAGCTTTTTTTTTTAAGGCCAAAGTCAAATTCTTTACCTACTGATTCTTTGTTTTTAATTTTCTAAAAATTAAATTATTTTCTCTAAAGATTTATATTATATATATATATATATATATATATATATATATATATATATATATATATATATATATATTTAATAAACATTTTTTTTGTGCGAGAGAAGCAAATAAAAAAAAAAAAATGCTTTAATTGCAAATTTCTTGACTGTTTGAAAAATGCCAATTTCAGAATTTTTACCATACTTTTTATCTTCGGCCTTAACGCCTCCATCTGTTTTTTGTGCTAGAGAGTAAATATTCATTTCCGCAAGTCAGTTTTTAAGACTTTTCCAGTGTAATAAATCTTTATCTTTTACTTTTTCTTCTCTTCATCTAAACGTCATACACATTTTGTGTGTGTGTTATCACTTTCGTTCTCAATATTTCCTTCTCTTTCCATTTCTTCCCCCTTCACTCTTTCTTTTTCTATCCATCTCTTTCTTTCTTTCTTTCTTTCTTTCTTTCTTTCTTCCTTTCTTTCTTTCTTATCAGACTTAAACTTTACATCTGCTTTTAATAAATTTTTGTTTTAGTTTTAGCTACCAAGCTCTAACAATTTTTCATCTTCTTCTCTTTAAACACATTATCTATCTATCTATCTATCTATCTATCTATCTATCTATCTATCTATCTATCTCAGTCTCTATCTATCTATATCTCAGTTTTTATGTATGTATGTATCTATCTATCTTAGTCTTTTTTCAGTTTTTATGTATATGTATGTATCTATCTATTTCATTCTTTATCTATGTTATCTCAGTGACTATTTCAGTTTCTATCTCAGTATCTCTCTATTATCTATCTCAATCTCTAAGTATCGATCTATCTATCTCAGTTTTTAAGTATCTATCTATGTCAGTCTCTATCTATCTATCTATCTATCTATGTCAGTATCTATCTATCTCTAAGTATTGATCTATTTCAGTTTTTATCTATCGCAATTTTTATGTATGTAGTATGTATGTATTTCTCACCCCCTCTCTCTCTCTCTCTCTCTCTATCTATCTATCTATCTATCTATCTATATATATATATAAATACCATAATATATGTATGTTATAACATCAGTATAAAATAGCCTTTTGTTTCAACACTTCGGGTGTCAAGTGATAGTGTTGCAAGTCTATATATCTGTCTTTATCTATTTATCTCAGTCTCTAAGTATTGATTATCTATCTCAGTTTGTATATATAAATCTCATTTTCTATCTATCTATATATATATATATATATATATATATATATATATATATATATATATATCAGTTTTTGTATATCTATCTATCTTTCTAGCTATAAGTCTCTATCTATCTATCTTTCTAGCTATCTAAGTCTGTATATCTATCTATCTATCTATCTATCTATCTATCTATCTATCTATCTATCGATCGATCGATCGATCTCAGTCTGTATGTATGTATGTATCTATCTATCTATTATTAATCTATCTATTTCTGTCTCTGTCTATGTATCTATCCCAGTCTCTAAATATCAATTTGTCAGTTTTTAGGTATCTATCTATCTCAGTCTCTCTATCTATCTATGTATTTTTGGAAAAATTGCATACGTATTGGAACTTCGTACAACTTCTCAATTATTTCTAAGTCGTAACCCTAGAAGTGAACTTGTAAAATGTCAGGTATGTTCCAATAAATTGACAATCGTTGCATAACAACAACGTAATGAAATATTAAACAAATTTTTAAAACCGGTTACTTTGTGCACGACTGATATGCATTGTGCGACGTCTAATGTGGACGCCTCTACGTTTTTTTTAAATCGCTAAGTAAAAAATGTTTGATCAACTAAAAAACTGCAATAGAAACGTAATCGTTTTTTTTTTTTTTTTTTTGGGGGGCTCATTATGGGTTAATTTAATTAATGCAGAAAAAAAAATAAAAATATTGTTATTTTTATGCGAAACTTAGTTTTATTGAAGGGCTTAAATAAAATGTCTTAAATTTAGAAAAACAAAAACAAAAACAAAAAAAACAATATTGTAAAACATAAGCAATCAGACAATTTTCCCGAACAATGCAATTTGTTTCACATTTATTTCATTTATCGACAAAACTGTCAGATCAGTTTGTTTTTTTTTACAGACGTTTCACATGCGTGTGTACATTTGCCTGTTTTTTTTTTATTTCAATGAAAATACAATTGCACATAATTTTTAATAAGTTTTTTTTACAAGCTTTGAAAACAAAATTGATGAAAGGAGCACTTTGATCTAGGTAATTAAAATAATAGTACAGATTCTTTTTTTTTTTTCTTTTCTTTTTTTTTTTCGTTATTTTTTATTGTTCCGCCAGAAAAACAATCACGAAGTTTTGAAAATAATTTTTTAATGGCTGGCATACTCAACTCTTGGAAAAATACGGCAAAAACAAAAATATTTTTTTTTCCAGAAATTTCATCAGAAAAATAAACTCTGTCTACCCCAAGCAAAGGTCATGACCACGCTTTTCTTTTTAAGACGTTTAACGGTTAAAATTAAGAATAGGATACAAGGTTCATTTCTTGGAAAATGGATTTCAATGGTAATCATACTCTATTTTGGTTAACAAAAATAATTTTAAAAAATAATTACAAAAATTTATAATCTTATAAATTTCAACACTACGTTTTTCCGAACCGTAAGAGAAAATTAATTCTTTTTTACATGTTGTAAAAATGACACGCATTCACGACTGTAGCGTATGCTTTTCTGTCTCTATTGTTAATTGTAGTATTCATCTTGATAATTTTGTTGAAAGAAACTACTGCCTTAATAAAAAGTTATCCCATTACAATATTCTTAAATATTTCTTTATGATGATCATTTACTTTTTTAAGGCAAATGTAAAAAACTTGATTCCTTTTGTTTTCTTTCGGTAATTTAAATTTGGTCAATAGTAGCAATGGCATAAAATGATAAATCTCTGAATGAACGACGAACCGGTCGACTCAAATCTAATTTAAACTAGTTTCTTCGGTGTGAGCACGTGTAAAATGTGTAGGCTATGACGACGATGACGACTGCTAGGAATGAGTAGCGTAGCTCATTCCAAATGACATTGGTTATTTCATTTTATTTTTCTCAGTTCTCAGACATTTCTGTCTCAAGTCTAAGAATGAAACTCTTTTTTATGAAAGAATGAAGAATGTAGTCAAGTTTGTTGGGTTTTTTTTTCACGTTATGAACCTTTTGCGGTTAGGATAGCAAATACGATCTATGAATCTCATATGAGACCGACACGCTTTTTTCTGCCATCACTGGAAATAAATTTATATTCTGGAAAAAAAAAAAAAAAAAAAACTAGGTTACCACGCTTAAAAATGCCGACACATTCTTCTGTTATTCCAGGGCGCTATAATCTGATGCTATATTTTTCTGTTGAATTTTTAATAATTTTAAGAAAAAAAATGAGTTTTTTTTCTTTTTGTAGTTTTGTTTAAAATCGCAATCGATCTCACTCAAACCTGCCAAAAATTTGAATATTATGTAAAAAAAAAAAATAGAAAATTCATTTAAGTGCAAATTAAAAAAAAAAAAGAAAAAAGAAGTTAATTTCAGTTCTAGGTTCTTTCTTGCGTAACTGAAGGACCATAAAAGAGATTAAAAAAATAACTATCAAGTTCAAGATACTATCATTTTTTTTGTAAATGAATGCCTTACCCTCCATTCTACCCGCCCAATTCTTTTTCTTGCTTTGGCTACAATGAAAGCCGGTAACGGGCAAACACACCGTCTAACACGCTTTAAGAAAAAAAAAAAAAAAAAAAAAACTGAATTACATATATATGTATGAATGGCCCGTTTTAGTGGAAATTCAAGCATTTAGAAATTTGCTCGTAAACAAGAAACTCTTTCAAAAATCGTATATAACGCTTTCAATAATGTGCGTGTGTGCGCGCGCACAAAAAAGAAAAACTAAACAAAAAACAAAAGAAAAACGCTCACACAGACACGCACACAGCGCGTTTTCGCGTATATTTGAATGAATGAATGAATGAATGAATCTTAGGAACGGACAGTAGTGAAGATATGAGAAACGATTATATATGCACTCGGTGATATCAGGCAAAAATACCATGTGTATGTGTGCGCACGTATATGCGCTTGTAGAGTGTGAATGATTGAAAAATGTACGTTGGATACGAACGATTTATTTTAAACAAATAAAAAGTCTAAGAATAAAAAGTAGGAGAAAAAAAAGCGAGAGAGAAATGCAGCAAAAGTTCCAGTGATTTTCAACAATATCCGGCATACATCATAATCACACTTTAAAAAAAGACTTAAGTAAGATATTTTTCGTTTTATGTCGCGTAAAACTCACGCATCCATATTTTCATAAAGGATTAGCAAAGTTATTGTCACTTAAGAAGCGCATGTTAGGTTTTTAGTTTCTTCTTCTTCTTCTTCTTCTTCTTCTTCTTCTTCTTCTTCTTCTTCTTCTTCTTCTTCTTTATGCTGTGTCCCTTCCGGGCGTAGGCGATCATGGCTCTCCACAACTTCAGAAGGATAAAATTTACTAAGAGCTTCTGTTATTTCTCCTAATGACATTGCTCTGCCATTCATATTCAAGCTTACTAGGTAGGTTATGCACTGTTTTCTTATTTAACTTTTGCCTTCAACGTCCTTTCAGTATCAAATTTTCTTAGCCCTCTTTCCTCATTATGTGCCCTAGAAATTTCAACTGTATTTTCCTTTTGTGTCCTTTTTGATTCCATTTTCTCTAAAACTTCGTCGTTTCTCACATTACAAAAACTGCTTGTCATGATGGAATAAAATTGTTTACATATGCACTGAATGAGTCATAAACATTTATTCAGAAAAAATATCCTGAAATAAATGTTTTCTAACTAGATACTAAATCGCTTCAGTTATTTTTATTATAATTCGATTTTTGTAAATTCAAATAAAACATCTTTATAATCTTACGACCACTCATGCAGATACTATTGAAAAAGCAAAGCTCAGTCGACTGATAGTTAAACTCAGCTATTCAAAAAAAAAAAAAAAAATGGTGAGATGGTAAACTGGAAAAGACGGGGCTTCATGAAATCGGAGAAAATGGGAAAATGCTATTTGTCTGCTGCTTGTTTTGGATTGTTTCCCCATGCGACAAGTGGTTCTGGGATGCAAACCCCTTCCCTCCGGTCGGTACATAAAATCTTTCTCTCTCTTACTCAGAAAAAGTTTTTTTTTGTTTGTTTTTTACACCAGAATATATAGAGTTGGCTCTGCATTTTTTAAATTATTTTCCTTTCTTATATAAAGTAAGTAGTTTTTGTCGTGTAATCATTTTTTTTTTCGAATCTCGAGATAAAAGAAAGAATGATTGAATAATGTCTTTGCTTTTGCTAGCTTCCAAGACTCCATTGTTTTATTGTCAAAATGAAATAAATGGAGAAAACAATCGGCGACCTCATTTCTGTTTAGTGTTTACCATTTCCTTATTCTAAAATGTCTCAGCTGAAACGATTCTTTCAATTTAAAACTATTTTTAACTTAATTCAGAATTTTTTTAAGTCCGTTTGAGAATAAAAAAATGTACCTTAAATTGAAAAACCTTATCAACAGTAATCTTTCAAATGATGAGAAGAAAAAAAATTCTTGAAATGTGTCTGCGTATACTGTGTAGACTCCTATTTGTGAATATAGGTGTGCGTATACGTACACATTATACCCGCACCTTCCTTTTACTTTCACGCCTGTGAATATCTAGCGAAAATAAACGTTCATTTGAGGTTTGTTGAGCGGCACTTAAGGATTTGCTAGTCACGTGACACTAACATTGTAAAACGATTCGTCGAAACTTAATTTCCCTCCTCCTGACTTCTGGTCAAATGACAACTTTTTGTTCGTGTTCTTTTTTCGCCTCTTAGTTTAATAACAACAACAATAATAATAATAATAATAATAATAATAATAATAATGAGGATGATGATGATGATGATGATGATGATGATTGCGTTAGCTATATAATCGAAATTTCATGGAAAACACCGTGGGATCATGAAAACAGACTCTTGACGCCTAAGAAAAGACTAGAATACTTTATGCTGGCATAGGACAATTTTGGAAAAAAAAAGATGTGATTATTGTTCTACTTGGTACTTCTCTTCATCGAGGATATTTACACTTTAAATTATTTTTCAGTAAAAAAACAAAGAAACAAAAAATATATGATACAAATATCAGCCACACCAACAAAAATAAATAAATAATAACAATTGTGAAAGTTTGTGTTCTGTTCAATGGCGCGTGTTCCCTTCAACTGAACACCGAGTGAAAAAAACTCATTTTGCAATGTTCAAAAAGTACGATAGGTCGTTGATTGTCTGGTATAATTTGGTGGTTCATCATATTTTTAAAAAGACTTCTGAGAGCATTCTCAGTCTTTTACGAAATAAAGGTTTAAATTTGGAATAACTGCATATATTGGAGGATAAATTCTTGAATTTTCATCCTTAAAATATTATTCTGTTTCCTCTGAGTTCTAACAAGGTCAAAGGACACTCACCGGTAATCAATAATAATGCAGACAGGCAGACAGGCAGATCGATCGATCAAGAGATAGATTGAAGTTCAGCTGTTAAAAAGGCTGATGAAAGATAATTCATAAATGAAACA